TTGACCTAGGTGTGTAGATCCCCGATGGCCTCTGGGAGCCCTCAACGGCTCGACGATTGCCGAACCCTACCCCCGCATCGCCGCGCATGGAGGCTCCTGAATCGATGGATCTCGCTGCCGAAGCCCGCTCGGACTTGAAGGCTGGGCTCTCCAACAAGCTGGGCCCAGAGGTGAGATCCGAGGCCCCGAGCAAAATTTGGGTCCGCTGGCATCGCTCTACTATTTTTTCGGCCTCCAGGGGCCCCCAGCGGGCCCAGGACCATCAAGCACGAACTCAGGATGAAAAACTTGCCCCAGAGAAGCGGTTCAGACCTCTTGGGGCTCACGCATCGCAAAGACTGGAGCGCCCGATGTCGGGGTCGTTGCCGTCGCCGTCGTCGGGTCTGGTGCGAGAGCAGCCGCCGAGCGAGCGAGAGCTCGCGCAGGCTCGCCGCTCGTTGAGACTCCTGCGAGTCGCGCGCAGCTGAAGAGGGCGAGCCGAGACAACGGCAGCTGGCCTTGGGGGGGCCTTCGTCGCCGCGGGTGGGCGCAGCTCGGGTAGCTGGTGCGTTTGGACCCCGGGAGGGATCTGGGGACCGGTGCTGAGCTGCCGTTGTCTTGGCTCTCCCGGTTCCAAGCCCAGCGCGAGCGAGGATATGTTTTGCGCCCTGCGGCGGGATACGGTCGGTCCGAGGTAGAAGGTCGAGGTCGGCTCGGGGGGCGTACCCTACGGCTGCTCGTGTTTTTGTTGCATGTTCCTTGTGCATCCGAGGGAAGGGTACCCTCGAAGGTTTCTCAGTTTGGCCAGCGGAGGGTCTCATGTTCTTGAAGGACGTTATTATGTCCTTGGTCCGGCTGTATTTTTATCTCGCCGCAGTCACGCGTTATCTCGTAGACTTGCCCCCAGCGCCGATGGAGGGTGAGAAGGAAAAACTTCAGGACGGAACAAAAACACACAGACGCAACCAAACGTCGATCCCGAGGGAAACATGGGAAGATGCGGAGAGTACAGGGGAAGGCGGACCTCCAGGACATTTAAAGAAAGACAGGGGAATTCTGGGATGTGTGTCTTTTTCTTTGTGCGCCCCTGGGCCCCATTCGAAACCTTCTCGTCCTCCTGTTGCCGCTCCTCGGCGCCGCGGGTGGCCGCAGCCCCAGGGCGCTCTTCTGCTCAGCGCTGCCGCCGGTGCCGCTGCCCGTCGTCGTCGTCGTCCTCCTCCTCCTCCTCCTCCTCGTCCTCCTCCTCCTCCTCCTCCTCCTCTCCTCCTCCTCCTCACTCCCTCCTCCTCCTCCTTCTCCTCTCCTCCTCCTCCTCCTCATCCCTCCTCCTCCTCTCTCCTCCTCCTCCTCCTCCCCCCTCCCCCCTCCCCTCCCCCTCCCCCCTCCCCCTCCCCCCCTCCCCCTCCCGAAGAAGGGGAACACTGCACAAACATAGACTCTCGGCGGTCTGAGCCGATTTCTCGGATCAGTTCCTCCTCCCCCTCCTCCTCCTTCTCCTCCTCCTTTGTTCCTCCTCTCCTCCTCCTCCACCTTCTCCTCCTCGTCCTCGTCCTCGTCATCCTCCTCCTCCTCCTCCTCCTCCTCCTCCTCCTCCTCCCTCCTCCTACTTCTCCTCCTCCTCGCTCCTCCCGGAGAAGGGGGCCACTGCGCAAACACAGACTCTCGGAGGTCTGACGCCGTCAGAGGGTGTTGAGGAGTCGTCGCGCTCGTCGCCGCGACGGCGCGCGCCCGATGGCGCTGGCGCCCACGAGGTCGGCACTTCGCGTCCTTGGCTGCAATCCCCTCAGCGCCACGGGGTTGCGTTTCATCGACACCCTCGCTTCCACCCGATCTTTCGATTGCCTGCTTCTTTCGGGAGCAAAAGAGTCATGCAGGAGAGGGAGAGGAGTACTAAGACGTCGGGTGGAAGGGCGGCTAATCCTAGAAGCTGTTTATCAACCAGGGCTACACCAACAATAGCACAGGCTGTGCGATTGTGTTGCTTCCACAGTATCGGGATCGGGATGCCATTCGAACCTGGGGATCACCCACCCAGGCTGGGGGGAGGGTCATCGCTGCCAGAGTAAAGCGAGGAGCTGTAGATGTGACTTTTGGTGTGTTATAGTTTCCCCCTATAACCCTCTAGACGGGGACAAACTGGAGCTCATTATGGGGCCGTGCAGGCTCTTACGAGGTGGCGGGGGTCGGTGTCGCAAGACATGCCAGCAAGGACCTTCCCGATGTTGTTCGCCGGCTTAAGCGACGGGCTGGGGCTGAGTACAATTTCGGGGATATTGGGAGGCACCCGTTACGAGTTCAGTAGGTGACGCCCGGACCAGGGAGGCCCGTCGTCGAGGTGAGGAGGAGGAGGTCCGAGAGTTTCTTACATGAACAACGCATGGTAGCTCCGACGACATTCTGACCATATGAGCACACACGCACACTTTACACATCATCCACACCACCGTCGGCATCAAGATTTTTTTTATTTCTGTATTGCTACTGGGATTCACAATCGTGTTTGAGATTGTCATACCCTTCGTGAGCTTGGGGCGCGTCTCCAGCCGCTACGGGGCATTCCTCCGCGAGATCGTCCACCTGTAATGCTCGCGGTCGATTGCGCCAAAAGGCCGCGCGAACTCCCAGTCCCACCAGCGCCTCGAATAGATCTTTCGGCGCGCATGCAGGCAGCGCGCAGTGGCACTGGTCGCGGTGGCCATCTGACGGACTTGGCCAGCGAAGTTGCTGCGAGTTCGACCGAGCTGAGGACTGCGACAGAGACGGGCGCCCCGGACACTTTCTTTGAGAAAAAAGATGGTATGATTTGCCGTGCTGTTCAGAAGCTCTTCGCACGGGCACCTCAAGCACCATCATTCTCGGGCTCGGTTGAGACGCGTTCGCCCCTCCATCAACGTCACGCGTCGCGTCTAGCCGGCGGGGGGGGGGGCTTGGAGAGGATAGAGCGCCCACTGGAAATTTGTTCTCAGCGACTGCAGAAAGAAAAGTGGGGGAGGTGGAGAGGAAGAGGCTCGCTGAGCAAATCGAATCGGCGCGGGAAAAGGGATGCGCGGCAGAGGCGATTGCTTGATCGCGGCGGGCGGCGCTTTGTTGGTTTGGGGCCGAGCGGCGAGATGGTCGCCGTCTCGGGCCCGGGCTTCCCAGGCCCGAAGGGGGCGCGCGGGCGCGGGGGATCTCTTGGGGCGAGTTGCGCGCTGAGCGCGAGGGGCTACCGGCGCCTCCGACGTCCGCGGGGGGCGAGCGCTCGATTTCTGAGTTAGCCGGTGAAGGTTTCCAAGCGCTCCGATCTTGTATGAGACGGGCCGGGAAGAGACGCGCTGTCCCCCCTTTCTACTTCGCCATTAGTGTTCTGGGATACGCTGCCATCGCCTGATCGCGAGCTAGACTCGGGGGCAAGGGTTAGGATACTCAGAACAACGACCTGATATGCAGCCTGCCCATTACCCTATCTATCTTGGACTTTGTTAGATTCGGCGAGTGGCTATGGCCCTCTAGTACTGGCGCAGGTCAAGAGGTATCGGTCTTCCCAAGACTTCGGGTCCAGGGCCCCGTGGTCGACGTTTTATTCGTGCGCCGCCTGCGATAGGCAAAGCGCGGTGCGCCGAGCGGGTTGCGCAGCGTCTCCCCGGGCAAGACCATGGGTTCGCTGGCGCCACAGGCGCGAGCGCGCCATTCTCTGCGCGATGGCCATCGGGAATCGGCAACGACCGGCAGGGTGGGCACTCGCAGTCACGATGAAGGACTGATCGAACGCATGCGGCAGCGCGAAGTGGCATTGTCTCGATAAGCTCGCTCGCGAAGGCGTTCCAGCCCAGGCCTGCGCATCGCGTCGCCAGAGACGCAGGTTATCTGCGACAGAGGTGGAGGCGCCATCGGGATCTCAACGGCAAAGACGGGGGTGGGAGGCGCGATGGGGGGCCCCTTTCATAGCCCAGGGGTTCGCGGGGGCGCTCGCCGCCGCAGTCAGCGCGCGGGCCGCGGGGGTTCGCGGGCGCGCCCCCGCCGCGAAACTGTCGGGGGCGGGCGCCCCCATCGACGTGTGATTTCAGAAGTGCGCAGGCGACTGACTGAGACGCATCCCCTCGCCCCGGGCACGGCGATGGAGGACGTTGCCTACCGCGCTCTTCTCGGGCGCCCTCCTGGGCGGGGCCCCGGCCGCTGCGGGGCGCGCGCCAATAGACGGCGCGACAAACTATCAGTCTATTTATCGGACAAGAAGGAACGGCTCACTGCGAAAAGCGCATGCGGGAGGCGGGGCATCGAGGGAAAGCGCTTGGGCGGGGTCGCATCGGACGTTACGCGGCATTTGGGTCCAGTACTATCCCCGCGCGACAGAGTGCTCCAGAAGTAGAACGTAGAGTGGCCGCTGCGACTTCGGCATATAGTAGCATGGGTTCGTTTTGGGGGCTATCTACCCCCCAAGAAGTGGAATGGGGACCATCTTCATAGGTCTGGCACAGGGTTCGCTGCTCTCGGGCATGGGGCCGTCTGTGCTGAGCGACAAGCAGTTGTCCGTGATGGATCATCA